CCCAAACGATCAATTACCAGCCACCCTTCTGCCGGGAGCGGCGAGGGGCTGGCTGGCGGCCGCGAGGAAACGGCAGCCCGGATCACTTCTGCATGACAATTGATGGGAGGGAGGGCGCGAGGCGAGGAGGGAGGACGGCTGCAGTGTCCGTTTTCTCACCATGGTGATTAGGCATTCCGGCCGCGCGAGGAGGCAGCCGCCGACCAGAGCGGCGCGGTGTGGAGCGAGGACAGGGGAAGAGAGCGGGAGCGGGAGCGAGCCCAGCCGCCGTGCGGGCGGGCGGCGGGCGAGCGGCGCGCTGAGCCAAGCCAAGCCAGGCCAGATGGCTCTGCAGCCATCAGGGACTGCTCCCGTCCACCCCGGCCCCACTTTAGCTGTGCAAACATTTCTTTATCCCAACAAGACAATTAAACCCAGCAGCATGAAAAGGAGTCTCCATGACTGTGCTGAGAGTGAACAACCAGAAACAACCACACATCACAGGGAGTTCTTGCCCTCCACCCCCAGAGGGAGGAGAAAAGGGGCTCAGGGAGAAACTGGGGAGCAGCTGAGCAACAACCGGGCTAGGTCTGGGCAACTCAGTACGGACGGAACCATCTGACCCACCTCCTCTGGTGATTTGCTGGCCCTTTCACAGTGGTCATCTGCTCCAGCTACAATCCAGAAGTTGAGCCTGGTGACAACTGCCCCAGCAAGAACAATCCTCCTAAAAAGCCCAGTTTAGGGTCCCTGGCCACACCAATCCCAGAGCCTTGGGAAGTATCCCCCTTAATCCTACCCCCACAATGTAGCCAGGACTCCTCATTCCAGGCTGCCCTTGGGCCTACATGGGCTCAGCTGAGTGATTCTTAGGACACAGGGTCTTCAATGATACATGCCTTCATAAAGACACATTCTCAGGGTACAAAATACCATCTACTATTCAGGGCTTTTGGGGCCCAAGAATGACTTTTCAAATACATCAAAGATGAGAGCAAAGCAGAACATCCAAGAACTGCTGTGAGCCACCAGGTTTCCTACCTACCTATGAAATCTGCCTGACACAGGGAAGGGCCAGGGAAGCAGGGACACTTTAGGGTCATTGCCCATTGCATGTCCCTGAGGTAAATCAGAAGGCAGGGCCAGTCACTGCTCCAACTGGTGCAGTTCTGGTTCCTCTCAGCTCTCTGGTGAGCGTGCATACTAGCCAACTCCAATTTGGGCTGAGTGGAATGACTGGCAGGCTACCCAAAAAAACCTGTGTCACCCAGGCAAGAATCTGGGCATGAGGGGGGGTGGCTACAGAGAACAATCGGGAAATGCACATGATAAGAGCCAGGGCACTGAGGGGGTAATAAATGTATAGATTCTAACACAAGGCAGCAGACAATACTTATCTTCCCTTTTGTTGTAAAGTTTCCTTAATGAGGAAATGTTTATTTTAAAAGCCCTGGGAAACATATCTGTAGACACTTCATATGTAAGACACACGTGGACTATTCATAATTGGTCCATAAATTTTAGCATCATTTCCCTGGACAAGAAGCCTTGGAGACTGGTTCAGGGAGTGACAATAAACAGGAGTTACCTCAGTTCCCTTCCTGGGGAATTACGCATCCTCCATGAATAGCTTCTCACAAAACACGTCTCCCTTTTTCCAGGGCAAATAAGTTAGTCGTGTTGAGTCAAGGCTTCCTTTCTCCATAGACCCCAACACCTACCTCATGAATCACCTGTGATGCCAGGTAGATGAACAGGCAAGCAAACCGGAATCATCTACTAAGAGAAACAATACTTTACCCAAATAGCTACATTTCAGTACAAAAATGCATATTTAGTCACAAAAGAAATCCTGCCTATCAGTACCCAGATTTAAGGCAAGCACACGTGTGCATTACACCATGTCTGCAGGCCCCTCTTTCAAATGCTCTCACATGTGGACATATCTGCATATGGATGCAGTGTGTGAGCAGGGGGTGGCTGCGACAGTAAAAACTGTCAGTGTTTCCACTGTAAAACTGATTTTTCATTGACCTAAAACTCAGTCATAAAACTTCTACTCTAAGTAAAGGACACACACACACACATCCCCATACTGAAAAAAAACCCCGCCCCTGAAAAAAACCCCTAAAGCTAAGTGCCTATTTAGGAGGTTTACTGTTGTATTTAATTAAAACATTTTTTTTTTTTACATTTTATGAGAAAATTTATTTATATGAAGAGAACTGAAAAATAAGTCACCACATCAGAAATTAACTCTAAGTTTTAGGAATAAAAAACCAGAATATACATGGTTAATTTTGGCAATCTGACCAAAAGCCACTGCATCCTATTACTTTGCTCTTTCCAACACTTTCTATCCTCTCTTCTTGCCTTCCCATCCCCCTCACTGCCCCATCTGCCCCTTAAGCTCTCCTTTTGGAAGCAGTCTTGTACACTGTCACTCGATTATCTGAGAAATATTACTTATTTCAAAACGGTTCTGTAGGGAGGACCTGAAAGGCATCTAGTGGGAATAATCAGGCCTTCTAACGGCCCTTAAATATGTATTTACATAAAACAGACCATAAATATTCTGACACACGTCGGCATATGACAGGAACCAAGAAAGCTGCTGCAGACTTTGTCCCAGTGCCTCTTCAGCCCTTCCCTACAGAAAACTGTTTCTCCCACCTTCCCAAAACTCAAAATCAAAAGCACAAATGCTACCCAGTACAACCCTGGGAGGGCTGCTATGCCACCTAAGGGAAGAAAAGGAGGAAGGAGCCCTGGATCACAGGCTAAGAGGCTCCTGTTCATTTTGCACCTTTGTTTCTTGTTGAAGATTGGTCACGAATGCAACTCTCAATAATAAGGTGGGTGTGCAAACGCCCTACACTCACAGACACGCCTAGAGGTTTTACGTTTGTGTGATAGAGAAAAGAGAACACAAAGTACTCTCTAAAGGAAGAATATTTTAAACAAATAAAAGGGGAAAGGGCTCCAATTTATATAATACTACAGTTTCAAATAAAGAAGTTCCCCCACCCTTCTGATCAGAATCTCATTAATTTCAAGGTCAGAATTCCATTTCACTTTGGGAGATAGACTCATTTAATTTTTCTCCACCCAGGCGTATTCCTGTGTGAGGGATCCATCTCCATGGGGGATGGCACCACCACACAATGCAAACCAGGCAAACAGAAGAGTTATGGCTTTGACACTCGGAAAGGGAATGGATAGCCACATCTATGAGTTCTGACTTGACTAACAAGCTTCCTCCTGCTCTGGGGGTCTGACACAGGTTTGGGCTAAAAAGAGAGAAAAATGGAGACAAGCTGGATTTGTTAGGAGAGAAGAAAGGAATCTTGATCTCCAGATGTTACTTTGTAGCATATTAGTTTTGAGAGGATTTCATTTTCAACTTGTATTTGGAGAAAAAGGGGGCAGAATCTGACACAACCTCACCCAGGGCAGCTTTAGCCAGAGGTCAGATTACAGCTAGCCTTGATCACTTGCACATTGACAAATGAAAACTGCGCTGAAGTAAAACAAAACAGAGCAACACAAAGCCAGCACGTTCGGGAGGTATACCCAAAAAGCAAGATGGTAACACACACGTCAGCTGTCCAGAAGGGGAGCCGGTAGAAGGAGCTGAAGGGAAGTGAGAACACACGGGCACTTGTGCTGGCATACAGCAGCTTCTCCCTTAAGTGGGGAGGTCTCGGGCTTACAGACGCTGACATAAAAGACACACTTGCAACATATTTCAAAACCAAAGGGCGATGGATTTACAAGGCAGGTTGATTTTATGATGACTTTTATTGAAAAGGTACGCTGGGTTTAGGCAGATGCCTTTTAGCGCAGGAAAGTTAACACAGTGCCTAATTCAAGGAGACAGCCTGAGGAAGCAGTGCCGACAGGGGAGAGAGCTGCAATGTCTCTATTACTCTCCTCGGCATCATAAAGAGAAGAGAAGAAAAAATGGTATTCGTGTTGGTGGTTATAGAGAGGACAGGAGCACAAAAAATACAGAAGAGGGGAAAGCAAACCTCAGATGTAGTTTTCTTAAGAAAATAAAATGAAGCAAATCTCAGAACAAAGGGTTGGGTGGAAAAACACCCTCAGTTCATAAATTCTCACCAGGCTTGAAGAAAACTGCTCTGCCTACCCACAGCCCAAAAGCATCAGAACACAATTATTTTCTGATTCTATTAGAGGAGAAGACTGTAGGGTTCAGCACTCCTGGTCTACAAGTTCCAAATAAAGGTTTAGTTCTAACTATTACCAAGGGTAGCCAAAGCTCAACAAGGCACTTGGAGAACACAAGAACGCTGTTCCATAAGCAGAAATTAATAATAGTTGTGAACATCAAATATGGAGCAGTCACACAGGTCAACCGTGTCTAGTCCTAAAAGTGAGCCCAAGGATAAGCATCCAGCAAACCTGTTAAATCCCAAGAGAAGTCGGCTTTCTAGCCTTGCGATCACAAGGAAAACACAGCTGTTTGAAATGCTTTATGGTGATTGACGACACCTTTGTCCTTCTCTGAAAAAAAAAGCCTAATGTGGAGCAGGGCTGAGAGTTGGGAAAATAAAATCACGTGGAGTCCACTAGATGTGATACAACGGAAAAGCTAAAAAATAATATACCAAGATCGGAGAAACAAAACAAGGACAGCAAAGAGAGGAGGGATGGATGAATTTGTTCAGGTCCCCCAAATTTCGTAGAAACCTACGCTTTCTAGTAAAATGATAGTCACTCCAGTATATATATGGCACCTCTCTTCACTCCAGAGTCCCCTGGAGAGAGGCAGCGTGGAGGCCAACTCGCCTCTGGCTACCTTCAGAAAAACATTTCCTACCAGAACTGTCAATGCTCATTGACAACAGACAAGTAAATGTTCACACTCCACAGCCATTGAGTGGGAAGTAGTTGGCCCTTCCCATTACTAGGAGCATGAAAACTGCCACCGACCTGTTGAACACTACTGTAAGGCAGGGCTTGGTGGGGGTAGGGAGGGCTTGCACCAAAGTACTTACATCTGTCATTCCGATCCTCTGGGCTAGATGAAGCTTCCCGATCCGAAATGAGGCCAGAGACAGCAAAAATCTTCTTCCCAGTATCATCAACCTTAAGTGAACCGGGGGAGCTAGATGGCAGCTGTGTCCCAAAGTCATATTCCTTGCCATCTGCATCTGAGAAGCGCAAGTGGGGAGACTCTGTGTCATGGCAGTTCTTAAGTCGTTTGGCTGGCGTAAAGGCTGACTGATAACTCTCCCGGTCCTCAGTGGAAGCGAAGGGACGGAAAGCCCCCACCCCACTATGATTCAGCATACTGATTGGGGTGCAATCTAGATTTGGGGGAGCAAATTGAGGGTGGAGGTGTAGTAAAGAAGGGGGAAAATCACGATTGGCAAAAGTGCCCGGCACCCCACCTTGCCGATGGTACATAGAGGCAAAGGTGTAGGAACCGTTGGTGAATGGAATATGCACGTCCTTGTCTACTGAGACAGGTACACCAAAGGGTCGTGGCTGCTGACAAGGGATGGAAGCATCGCGGCTGGCCTCAGCCGTGGACGCCAGGACCATCAGTGCTGGGGATGCCAGTGGGTTGGGGAGGTAGGATGAGTTCTCCATCTTGAAGGCTGCCCGGTGTAAGTCCATCGGAGTCTCTTTCTATGGCTGGTGTCACACAAGAAGCAGTCTTCCCTGGGAGGGAGGCCAAGCAGCACCTTGGATCAAGGGCAGGGAATATTACTGGGGAATCATCCCCTTCTAAGACCTGTGGAAACAGCAAAGAGAAAAAAAGAAGGGGGAGGAAGGTCAGGGGGAGAAAAAAAAAGGGAAACCCCAAGTGATCGAAACACCATCCTTCTGGCTTACAGATGCTCGGGCAAGAGACACCACAGGCTTTAGGAGCCAGTGGGCAGCAGCATCAGACCATTTTCATTCAGGAAAATCAATAGACAACTTACTGTGATGTACGCGTAGCTGACTTTGGTCCCTACACGTTCCGGGTGAAATGCGCCTGAGCCCAGCAAAGGAAAAAAAAAAATCATAAAACCACCAAATACAATATTCCCTGAGCAAATGAGCTTTGGAAGGCCAAGTCACCCAGTAGATTGGGTGGGGTCTATATTTTAAAGGGCTTCCCCCTGCATACACCACCCATGGCTGGCCTGATGTTCAAAGAGAGGCGAGGTTCTACCTAGACGACCCCCCTCCAAAAAAACACATCCTCTCTTCATCTCCCCTAACAATGCCCTGGTGCTGAAAAATTCTTAAATCAAGCACATCTAGACCATCTGTACGTGTTAGCTGTTACAAATTGTACATGTGGATAAATCACACACATTGGCACATACATAAACACACATCTTCATGTATCATCTAAGACTGTTTCCAGAAAGAAGTGCTATGTGAAGAAACAACAGCAATATTATTTTTGATGCACACCCCTTCTCTAATGATACAGGTTTTCTCTTTTCTGAGAAGGAACAAAACCTTCATCAATAAAATGCCTGGCATCTCTGACAATATTTAAAACCATAATGGGTGCCTTTGGCGTATGTTCTCTAGAAGCGGCTGTCTTCCAGGGGCAGCAAAGAGCGGATCGGTAATTTTAGTTACTAATGCACTTGCTCTTAAGTAGATTTGTAAACAGCCTTGAATTTGCCATTAACATTTGGAGCAAAATGTTAACAAAATTTCTGACTTATTTTGCTCAGCTTATTGGCCCAGTCAGAGTTGATGTCTGATAAAGGTCCCTGGAACAAATTGGAGTTCGGAGAGACTTCTTTCAATTTCCCTTTTAAATTTAGGTTGTGCATTTCTATAGCCACTGATTCCATTTCAAAATTTATTTTGAGTAGGGGGCTGAGGCATGGGTCGAGAAGGGCTATATGTCAGAAGTCAGAACAACATAAGACGAATACTAGAATTTATTAGCTTCAAAAATATACACTAGATAGAAACTTAATGAAACTCAAAGTATAAACCAAAAGCCACCATCTGCTACTACTTAAAACCTTTAAATTGAGAATCATGTCTCAAATAAGAATTTACCCCCTCCCCTAAGACACACACACACACACACACACACACACACACACACACACACCTAAATAATGGAGTATCTTTGGTATTCCCTCAAATAGAGAAGCCTCAGTGAAACTGCAGATGAATCCCCTTGGCTTAATGCAGTGCAAAGAGAGTATTTCCTTCTCTCATCCTGTAGCAGACGTGTCAATGACTGTTATTAATTGGGAAGATGAGTGCACACCATCAGACTGCTTCCTCATTTGGCATCTCTCCTTATAGACATCATTGCTAAATTACCAGATTATGTATCTCACATTAACGGATTTTTCTCTCTTCCAAATTTTAAATAACTTTCCTGTCAAGTTATAGCAGTGCAGGGAATGATCTGCCAAGGATAGCCAGTTAGCCTGACGAGTCTGGTCTGGGAATCCTGTTCTTGGCTGTTTTCGAGTCAGATTAATGGTCACACAACATGGACGCTCTAAAAGTGGGTCTAGGGCTGTTCCAAGGGTTCTAAGCAGCTCTTCGTAACAGAAATAACTAACTACTTCTCTCTCAACAAGCAGTACTACATGAGGCAAGCAGGAGAAGAGGACGAACATAATACACTGGGGTGAGGGACAAATGTTTTCCCCCCAAATAACCAATTGCCCAGAGAATTCACTTTCTATTTTTACTTCCTGGATCACCTCATTATGTTAAATGAGTTTCATAAATTAGTAATCTGGCGACAGCACCGGACACTTCAACAGAACACGGTGAATCACTCAAACCTGGTTATTCATTTGAAACTTCATTATACTGAAAATAAATCAACAATATTTTTCCAGGCCACATCTCTTTTACTCCACTGTGTGGGCGTTGGTCTCTGTGGGGGAAGGAGGAGTGGCTTTTTTTCTTTTTCCTTTTCTTTCTTACCCCCTCCTCACATTAACAACTTGTATAGATGAGGCTTCAGCAGACCACAGTCATTATGAAAATCTATAGTTAATACACTCCCAATGTCAAAATGTCATGGGTTTAAACACAGAACCCAAAATAAGAAAACTAACTGACCCTCTTAATTAAAAAAATATGGATTGTAAGATAATCAGCTTGATGGAGCATTTGGGTGACTGTAAAGAACCAGGCAAAGGGAAAGTAAGTAACTGTTACTTTTCTGCCTCTATGCTGATTTTTTTTAATTTAGCACTTCGTGCAAATCCAGATTAAAATAACTCCAGCTATTGATCCGAGCAGTGGAATTGACATTAATTTTAGTTCACTTCTCACTTTGCAAAGGGATCAATAGGAAGTAATAACAGCTGACATCCCCGCTGAAAGGAGGAGAAAGAAGGGCTGAAGACAGAAATCGAAAAGCAACCAAATAAATCATCAGCTACTTTTCCACGGCATCAGACAAACTCCAAACAGATTGCAAAAAGTCTTTGTTGAATTAACTAAACAAGGAGGAGGGATCAATTCACGAAGCTAAATAAATTGTCTGGCAGGCAGTGAGGTTGGACGGAGGGACCAACAAATATTGAGTTTTAAAAATTTCAAATCCTTGACGTGATGGGTTTGGTTCAGGTCTGTATGCGTGGGAGTTTGTTTGTTTGTTAAATCACACACCCGACCCTGGTTTAAAGTGCTTGCACAACGCCAGCTAACTGAATAATTAGTGAGATTACTAATTGCGTGGTTAAACATGCCAGAACCAAGACAAATGAAACGAAGAAGCTGGCGATCGGAACGTGAAAATGTCTGAAGCTGGGCTGATGCGCAGCGCTCCGCGCTCTCCGGCGCGAACTAGCCACTTTCGCACAGAAAAATCGAAAGCCAGAAAAGTCTCAGAGAGTCGGCAATCTCCCACCCCAGCCTCTGACCATCCCTGTCCAGGGTCTGGGCTTCCTGACCCGCGCCGGGATCGGCGTAGAAGGAAGCGGCGCTGCTGCCGCTGCTAGGAGCCAAACCCACTTGCAAATGACTGCCACAAAGAAAAGCTGCAAAGCCTCTTTCCCGGAGCCCTAGCTCTGAACGCCCACCAAACTACGACTCTGCTGGCAATTAAAACGCACACACAACACTCCCCTGCTTATTACAACAGGTGACATTTTTGTGGTCTCTGAACCGTTTCCAAAAGCCAGGAATTAAAATAATAGAACAAATTAAACGATATTTTTCCTTTGCATAAATAAACTTTTAAAAAATTAACAGGCAACTTAAAAAGCAAAGAACAATGGGAAATGGGGCCAGGGTAGTGGGGGGTTGTGAAGAACTCAGGAAAGAATTTTTTTTTTTTTAAGTTCACAGACTTCTCCGCTTGAAGAGAATTCCCGCACACCAAATGCCCAGGGGGTATTTGGAAACACCGCTCTAACAGAAATTTTACCACCATATGCAAGAGCTCAGGAAGCATAAGCTTAACACGATTCCACCGGCTGGGGCCAACGCCTGCGATTCAGACGTGGCCGGGTATCGGTCCCAGATTTGGACCCCGACCCAGGCCCGGCTTGGCCAACGGGTGAGAATCCGAAACAGCCCGGCCTGTGGAAGAGTGCGGGGCTACGAGGCTGCCAGCTCAGTTGAGCGGGTGCAGAATTCAGCCGGTAGGAGTCTTAACCGGGGAAAACCAACTGTTTTAGGGAAAACGGAAGAAGAAGAGGTGAAGGCTAAACCTACAAAAACTTGGGGCCAACACAGCGCGGAGCCCACCACTCCTTGGCCAGACCTCTCCCTCCAGCTCTCGGCTGCCATTGCACAAAGAATACTTTAGGTCCCAACAACCTCTGCACGGAACAAGCTGCTTGTAACTTTGGGGAACGAGGGCGCCGGCCAGGGAAGAACGGACAAGTGCGAGGGGCCCTGGTCCACAGCCCGGCAAGGCCCGGGGGACAGGAGCTGGGGGCAGGCTGCCTTCGATCAAAGTCCAAGGACCTCGTGCCCCAGAACAACCCCGCCCCGCGGTCACCCGGGTCTCATCGCCGCGCGCCACCGCTTCGGCGGACAGCCACCGGACTCATGGATTCTGGCGCTCCAGTAAATGCGGGGCAGCCAGGCCCTCCCGGTTCCGGGACTGCAGGCCTGGGGCGAGGGAGGGAGGGTTCTGCTTTCGCGCCGCTGCCGTCCGGCCGCCACACACGACGCAGCTCGCAGAACAGGTGTGTGTCCCCGTTCGCTGGGCGCCCGGCCCCGGCCCCGTAGGTCACCAGCGGGGCGGCGCCGCCCAGTCCTCGGCCTTCCCCCACCTCGTCCCGGATCGCAGCGAGTGAACTCACGCCACTTCTGCCGGGTTTCCGCGGGCCAGGAGGGATGGGAACGGAAGACGCCCGCATCTCTTACTCGACGCTCTTTCTGCCTTCCCCCCCACGGCTCATTTTGCGTTTTCGGCAAAACCCCCGAGACCCGCAGAGAAGGAGGCCGGGCACCCCTGGTCGGTCTGCTCCCTCCAGCCTGCCCCGCGGCTTCCTCACTGCCCGCCGTTTTTTCTCTTTATTTTTCCTTTCTTTCCCCTTTGCCCCTCAAGCCGAGTCCAGAGCGGAGGCTAGAGGCGAGACATGGCTGGTGGGCATCGCGGGCAGAGAGCGCCAGAGTCCTCCCTCTCTGCTGCTCCCAGGGCAGGGAGGCGGCGCAGGCCACAGACC